CTACGCCCAGGGAATCCGCCTGGACCTGTGCCAATCAGCGCACGAGCAGCAGGCCCAACCAATCGCGATAGAGTCTCCTCCTCGCTCTCTGTGCTCCACTGGTACCAACGTAGATTACCTTTGCCCCAAGCCCCTGGGAAATGCATCAAGATCTCAGCCTTTCGCACATCGTTCTCAGGAGCATCTGGAAGTATGAACTTAAGGCGAGCTAAGTTGGAAGCCCTAGCCAACAACGGCGGTTGGGCATCATCCCTTGGCAACTGCAGCAACACGCACCTCACAGCAGCCCTGAATATCCTTTTGTGGTTGCTGAAGGACAACGACTGCACACATTTATAAATCAAGCTGGACACGGGTTCCTCTCTGAGAAAGGACTGCTCGCGGCAAGTGTTCTTGATGTGGACGCCACATGACGTGACGGTGTCGGACAACTTGTCGTCACGATTCCTGGCTGAGGCAAGCGTTGCACGCCGAGCCTTGGCCAGGGCGCCTTCTCGATCAGTGCAAAAAAATGCCGTCTCTGGAATTGTGATGCAAGCGGCTGCACGCCAAGCATTTCTTCTCTCATCGCACATGCCTGGAAATAAACTTCCCCTGTGGTGCGACCCAAGCTCTGGACAGGACACGGCACCTTCCAGCTGAACAACTTCCACGACCCACCGACATTCGCAGTACATGCCACAATCATTTCGCTCTGCAATATTTTTGCAACACCCGTGGTGGAATCCGCAACGGTCTCGAAGTAGGGCTGGAGTTTGTCAACAAGTTCAGCTGGAAGGCCATACAAGGAATCGACATCTGAGACGGTCATCTTGAGTGGAGTCTCGTCTTCTCTCTGAAACACATAGAACGTCCTAAGTACACCACCTTTGGACTGCACCTCGTCAATAATTGAACGTATGGACGACCTCATTGCGTGTAGGTAAGCAATCCAAGTCGTGGAGGCCGCAAGCATTGCTTTCTTCGCAAAGACGGGGCTCCTCGTGTCGCTCCTCTTGGCGTGCTCACGAAGAGATTTGCAAGTCAGAAGAACGTTGTCGTATGAGAGAAGGTAGTCGGCAATCCTCACGGATTGAGCGTAATACTTGGCAGCTTCCCCTGTTGCATGCAAGATGTTACACACGGTTTCAAACGATGCAATTGTCGCTCCGAGGAACACTCCAGCGTTGGCAACATTATCTGGCACGGTCGCGACTGCAAGCTCAAGAGGAAGGGCATGATCATGTGCAGGGACGGCAAGTGCCAATTCAACGGGAATGCCAACTGGAGCCGCATCCTCTATTGGAAGGCCAACTGGAAGGTCAACTGGAGCCGCATCCTCACCTGGAAGGCCAACTGGAGCCGCATCCTCAATAATTGGAGCCGCATCCTCAACTGCGAAGGGAATGAATGCTCGAACCCGCTGCGGCAAAATTGGCGCCAATCTGTCCCGAAGTAGCCTCTTGAACACTGATCTGAACTTTCGGCGGTTGACTGCAGGCTCGACATCCATCTCATCGTCGGCCTCCGCAGCCCACAGCATTTCGCCTGGCACGACCGCGGCGCCGTCGGGCGCTGCGGCCTCGACCTCGCTCGGCGCCACAGGCGCGCGCTGATCTTCTGGAGGCGCCCCCGGGGCCGCTAGATCGGCAGCAGGCGCCTCCTCGAGGGCCTCGCCATCAGACGCGCTGGAGCCAGCCTCCCCAGCCCACAAGAAACCGAAGTCCATGTGTGATACGTCGCGCCCTGACTGTCGGTATAAAAAAGAGAGAAATTGTGGAAGCCGATGGGTTCGAGCCAGAATTTCCAAGACGATGCCATCGCTGTTCGGTTGTGCCCGATGGTGCCCCGACGGTGTCTCGACGATGTTTTGATGTCGTCTCAGTGGTTGTGCTCGCGGTGTCCCGACGGTGTCCCGATGGTTGTTCTAATGTTGGGCCTTAGTAACCGCAAGGTTGTTATTGCATTAGTTTGTCACTTCGGGGGCACCTCTATTGCTCCTACTTGTCTCCCGACAATTGTCCAATGGTTGTCCCGCGGTCCTTAATTCTAATGGCGCCCCAGCGCCACCGCCAGCGCCACCGCATGGGCGCTTTCAGGCGCGTCTCCGACACCTTATATGATATCCGCCAGCGCCGCCGCATGGGCGCTTCCAGGCGCTTTGGAATAAATATGAATCTCGCCCTACGCTTGAAATTTCAAGTCGGATTTTCTGCCAATTCTGCCAGGAAGTCAAAACCATTTTTTTCCCAATTCTGGGGCTTTTAAAGGGGGGCAGCATTATAGAGAGAAAAGTTTTCTCAACCCGAGCCCACCACAATTGCTTGATTTATCTAGCATGCTGAGGAGGAAAGGAGGAGGTGGGAGAAGGGGGATGAGGATGAGGAGGAAGTATGCAGCATTGCTCTATCCGAAGCGAGTGCCTAACACAGGATGGTTTGGACATAATTGGTGGCCAGAGGCCTCTTGGGGGGATTCTTCTTGCGATGTGTTTCTAGGCCTCGCAAATGGGGTCGGAGTAGATTGGGTCGGAGGGTTGCGCCGCGTCGCCGATGCATCGACGATGTGGCTCGATGTGGAGCCCGATGTTCTCCACGCCGCCTTCGCCGATGCATCGGCGATGCGGCGCGATCCCCCGACCCCATCTTCTTCGACCCCATCCCGGAGGCCTCCAGTGTTGGGACCGTCGCCGTACCAGTCCACCCTTCGCGAAGCGTCGTGGGGCCGTGTGGCGGCCTGCCTCGGGTCCTTTTTCGGCAGGCGCGCATCCCCCCGCGCCGCCTTGGGCTCTCGGACGCGTCCGGGGGCGCACAGGAGGCAATCTCGGGCGGTTGTTTGCTGCTTGCTGTTTTAAGCGCGCCTGGGGGCCGTCCAGGGGCCCTCGTGGGTCCACCGAGAGACCCTCCAGCGTTCCCTTGGTTTCCCGGGGGGGCCTCTTGGAGTCGTTCTTTTCGGGCCGACGGGGCGGGCAACCCAACATGCGTACACGACGACAAGAAACACACACACGCACACACACACATCTATATCTATATAGATATAGATCAATCACGGTACAGACATGCCTCATTCTCATGTTCTTGCCACTTTACGTGTTCATTCACGGAGCTCGGAGCGGCCGCCCTCAAATCAATGCATGAGTTTTCCACGCTCGCTCTAGTTCATGCCTAGCTGCGCTTCGACGGAAACATTATCCTGACTGGTCCGCTCGTGTGCATAAGTTGTGCGGCGTTCGCCACTCATCTGGGGAACATTTCGCCTCCTCCACCTCCTCCCCCCTATTCCTGCTCCCCCCATCGCACGTGCTCCCGCGCGCGATGAGGAGGACGAGAAGTAGGAGGAGGAGGAGGAGGAGGAGGATGAGGAGGAGGAGGAGGACGAGGAAGAGGAAGAGGAGGAAGAGGAGGAGGAGGAGGAGGACCAGGGAAAACTCCGGATTCGCCAACGATGCTGCCATACACCCCTCCCGGCCCGAGTCCCCCTCTCAAGAGTCCCTCGAAGCCTTCCTTGTCGCCTTCGGGGAGCACGTCCCTGAAGTGCAGGCAAGCACCCTATGGGCCCGCCGTTCGGGCGAGGGCCCCCGTTTTGAAGTTGGAGCTGTCTGCCTCGCGCCCTTCCAGCGAGTCGTACTGAGTCGGGCTCGTAAACATAGTTTAAGCATAGTCTGGGGGCGATGTATCGCGATGTTCGAGATGTTTGGTGCAATTGTTCAACCATGTTTCATCTTTGGTCCCGAATCCGCCTGTTTGGGGGACACGCCCGACCTAACCTTGTGTCCTCCCAGCGAGCAGTATGAGAAGCTCGAGGGCAAGATCACAATGCAGTTCAGCGGGGTGTCGGGCGACATCTCCTTGTTCAAAAAAGGTGAGCCCCACCTGCGCTACTCTTGCACAAAATGTCAGGTCTGCCCAGGTTCGCCGAGGAAGTCTCGGGCGAGGACCCGATGCTTGTGCAAAAGCAGTCGCCCTCCATCCGTGCAGCTGCGAGAGTTCCAGTTCGTCTGTATGCTGTAGAGGACTTTCGATTGAGACTCTGAGTTTGCAAACGAGCCGCCTCTTATCCGAGCTGCTCCATCTGCTCAAGTTCTTGTTCTGTATAGAAAAGGTGGTCGCGAACCCCCAAGTTTGCAAAGGAGCCGCCTACAATCCCTGTAACCCTCCCGAGCTTTTGCGTAGGGCTTGGGCGAGATACCAGTTTTGAGAAGAAGCCGCACTCCATCCTTTCAGCTGCTGAAGCCTTGTAAGAGAGATATCTGTTTTGAAAAGGAAAGGCCTTCCGTGTTTGAGACTGTCGCAAGCCTTTACAGCGAAATTGCGCGTCGCTTGGGCAAAAGCTCCATTTCGAAGTGACCCCCCTCCACCCGTGAAGCTGCTGCAAACTCGTATGGCGAATGTGCGCGGCGCCCGGGTGAGAGCCACATGTGGAACACCACGCCCCTCCATGCTTTGTACGATTGCAAACTTGTGAAAGGCGACTGCGTGCGGCGCTGAGGCGGCAGCCACGGTTTGAACACGATCCCCCTTGCATCCTTGAAGCTGTCTTCAGATCTCGAGGTTCCGGATCCTGGGCGGCGGGGAAGTCTCCGCACGCGACGCCCAGACCGCCCTACACCGACACGCCTGGGGGTGTGGCCGGGAGGAGTGCGTCTGCACTTGGCATCGCCAGGACGTGTGCGTGTGTTCTTCGGCCCGGACCGTCGAGGGGTATCCCGTGCCCCATCGGGGGAAAGACCGGACGCGCGCGACAATGTGCATGGGGAAGGGGCGTCCGAGCGCTGGACTCAAGTCGGGCCTATCGCTCTCTCTACAGGGGGAATCTGGAAAGCTAGTCAACGCATAGTCTGGGCAGGATGCGTTAACAAATGTTTGAGCATGATCGGCGTAGTTCTGTGGGGTATTCTTTCCTTCCTCGTCCAGAGTCCGCCTCTGTGGGCACGTGCCCGACCGAACGCTGGACTCGAAAAGGGCGGGTTGGGGCGGAGGGAGGCCGCGGCGGAGCCGAGCCGCGGCGGGGCTGCGCCGCCGACGGCCGCCGACGGCCGGCCCAGGGCCGGCGACGGCCGAGGCCGCGCGCCCAGGCTCGCGAGACGGACGGCGCGCGGCTGCGGCAGATGCAGCGGCACCACGGCGTGCTCGGCGCCGTCGAGGCGGCGGCGGCCGCGGCCTCGGAGGAGAACCGCTACCAACACCACCAGGGGGCCCACCTCCAGCGAGGAGGTCCACAGTGCCTCCCCGAGCGGGAGCCATGGGGATGTCTCGAGCGAGAGGGGGGGGACCACACCACCAGGGGGACCCCCCTTGCCTCCGCGCATCTCCTCGCCCTGTTGGTGTTGGTGTCACATTTGCTTGGGCCGGGGATTCCCCCGGGCTTCCACTCAAGCAGTGGCAAAAGTCGCCCCAGCTCGCTTATATGGGCCTACCGAAGAATGTTCTGAGTGCCTTTTGTGGTCTGCGCGAAATGTTCTTATCACATGTCTGGTTGAGACTGTCCCTTTTGGCACATCGGGGTCATGCTCCAAGACCATTGTTTCCGTTATGAGAACATTTGAGGTTTCTGAGAACATTTCGTGGTAGGACCTATAGGAATGCCGGGACGGTCGGCCCCTGCTCCATCCACCCAGACCTGACCGCGTCGCGCAAGAAAGACACGGCGGGAGGTTTTGGGCCACCTTCGGCCTCCGGGGGCCCTCGCAGGGCCCCGGGGCCGCGTCAACAGAGCGACCCGGGAGGGGACGCCGGCCCCCGGGGGGCGGGGGTGGGAACTTCGGGGGGCCGCGTGCTCACAATTCAAAGCGTCTCGTGTCCGGGGGCGGAGGGAGTCTCCCTCCGCCCCTGTCGGTTGCCTCTCGGTTTCGGCCTCCGGGGGCGCCGCTCTCGGGGGGCGCTTCCCTTTTTCACAGGCTCGGGCAGGCCTGCTTGCACGCGGCATACCCGCCCCCTCTCTCGCCGCCTTTGCCTCGACTGCGTGGGCCTGAGGAGCCGTGCAAGGAAGCTTCGACTTGCGCGGTCGTCGGCGTTCCCAGGGGGGCTCGCCGGGGAGCCCCCCCCCCCCTCCGTGCAAGCAAGCCTGCCAGGACATACATGACACAAACTCTTGGACCCCGGGGCCACCCGCCCCGAGTTGCGTTTTTCCGATTTGGGGAGGGGGCCCTGTCGCGGCTCATTGGCCGGGTGGATCGCAGCCCAGTCGTTGAGTGACAAATTCTGAGGGCCCCCCCTCCGGACTTTTACATCGGGTCTCTCTCCACCATGTGAACACCGCCCTGTAATTAGGTAGGCAAGAGGCAAGAGGACGAGGAGGAGGAAGAGGAGGTGGAGGAGGAGGAGGAGGAGGAGGAGGAGGAGGAGGAGGAGGACTGCAGCAGCACTCCCTTTTCGCAGCAGGTGCCAATAACGGAGGGAAGGGATGCTTTACTTGTGGTGGCTTGGACTACATTCGGGGGCTTCTAAAACCGTGGCTGCTAAAACGGCCCTCCCGGAAGGAAAAAACAACTTCCTGGAATGAGGCGCGGCACGCGAAATAGTCAACGGGTTTCTTCCCGGAAGGACGAAGACAACCTCCCGGAGGTCGATTTTAGCAGCCATTTCCCGGCTTTCGATACATGGTGAGGTGGCGTGCACTGACCAAGGTACCAGAGCTGCCCTTCTTTACCGGCCTGGCCTGGCGGGCGCCTACTCAATTGTCAACTCTTTTCCTAATAACGTTTCCCCACGTGTCCCGCGGCGCCCGCCAGGTCCTCTTTGCTTGAGCCGAGTCGAGTGCATTTTTTCTACTCGCGCCACAAGGTAACCTTTGGTTGGCCTGGCTTGCAAAAAGAGGAGGGAAGCACGGACGAAACAAAAGATGGGAACGAGGAGGAGAAGAAGGAGGAGGAGGACGGATGATGATGATGATGGTGATGGTGATGGTGATGAAGATGATGATGATGATGATGATGATGATGATGATGATGATGATGATGATGATGATGATGATGATGATGATGATGATGATGATGATGATGATGCTGATGATGATGATGATGATGATGATGATGATGATGATGATGATGATGATGATGATGATGATGATGATGATGATGATGATGATGATGATGATGATGATGATGATGATGATGCTGATGATGATGATGATGATGATGATGATGATGACGATGATGATGATGATGACGATGCTTATGCTGATGATGTGATGATGCTGATGATGATGATGATGATGATGATGATGAGGAGGAGGAGGAGGAGGAGGAGGAGGAGGAGGAGGAGGGGGAGGGGGAGGAGGAGGGGAGGAGAAGGAGGAGCTGGAGGCGGAGGAGGAGGAAAGAGGAGGAGGAGGAGGAGGAGGAGGAGGAGGAGGAGGAGTATGAGAAGGAGGGGGAGGAGGAGGGGGAGGAACAGAAGGAGAAGGAGGACGGGGAGGAGCAGGAGGAGGAGGATGAGAAGGAGGAGGAGGAGGAGGAGGAGGAGGAGGCGGAGAAGAGGAGGAGGAGGAGGAGGAAGAGGAGTTGGACCCCCACCCCCCCTCGAGGCGCAGATCGGCGAGGAGCGCGCGGCGGCGGAGCGTGAGCTGCAGGCGCTGGAGGCGGAAACCCAGGAGCCTCCCCGCCCCCGCGGGCTTCGGCGCGGCCGACGGAGGCCGACTGTTGTGTGTGTTTTCTGTGCCTGTGTCGTCGGCCCTTGGGAGCGGACGGGCGCTTCACGTCCCGAGCCCCGCGTCCTGTTTCAATCCCCCCTCCGCGGCCGCCATCCTCTCTCCCCGCCCAGCTTCTGTCTGCTGCTCCTGCTCCTCCTTCTCCTCCTCCTCCTCATCCTCCTCCTGCTTCTCCTCCTCCTCCTCCTGCTCCTGCTCCTCTTCTTCTTCTTCTTCTTCTTCCTCCTCCTCCTCCTCCAAACAGTCGCAAAGCAGCGTGCAATGCTGAATGCTTTCGTGCTGGCTGCGATCGCTCGGGATCAAGCGTTTTGTCCAGGCGGCGGATGGGCCTCGGGGTCAGCCCGTTCGCGCTCGCCATTTCCACCTCGGCCAATTCCTGCTCGAGCTCGCAGGGCACCTGGGGGAACCCCAGGGCCGCTGGGTCTGTCGGTGGCAGGCGTGGTGCTCGCCTTTGTCTTGGGCGTGCTGCTGGTCCTTGTGACGCAGGCCCTGTGCTGCTAGCGCTACGTGATGATTCGGCTGGCGTTGGAGGGTGACTTCGCGCTGAGACGGCCGCTGGTCAAAACCCCCTTGTCTGGTGGTGTAGCCTCAAGCCGATCATCATGATGGTGCCAAGGCCGCGAAGGCGCAAGCTCTTGGGCTTGAAGCCCGGGGACGTGACATTCCTCAGCCACGGCGTGGGCGCGGAACCGTGGCATGAACGTTTGATTCTCGCGGTCGTGGGCGACTGCACCTACGTGGTGATGACGCCAGAGGGCCGCGCGCGCGCCCGAAGAAGCGATGGCACGCGGAGATGCCCCCGAATTGCACGCGTCACGTCGGAGGAGGAGGAGGGGGAGGAGGAGAGAGGGGAGGAAACGCGGGGTAGTGGGTGGGGGGGGGGGCAGTGGACGAGGAGGGACAAAAAGGGTCGACGGGAAAGCTGGAGGGAGGAGGAGGAGGAGGAGGAGGAGGACCAGCCCACGCGCGCAGGGAGGCCCATGGATGGAGTACCGCGGGTTTAGCTGGTGGGGATTTCGGGTGCGCCTATCTCCTTGTTCCCCCTTCCCCTCCCTCCTCTCGGCCTTCCTCTTCACGTAGGCGCCCCCTTATTTTCTATTGTATAATATGTTTGTTCATCCTGGGGCATTGTCTGAGCTTTGAACTCAAGCATGAACCCGTGAGCCCCGGGAGACTAGGATGAGTAAAATCCGGGAGGGGAGGGGCAGCGGGGGAGGAGGGACGAAAAGGGGATGAGAGGGGGGCGAGGAGCGAGGAGCGAGAGGGGAGCGAGGAGCGAGAGGGGAGCGAAGAGCGAGAGGGGAGGAGGTGGAGGATGAGGAACGTATGGAGGGAGTGGGAGCGAGGATTTAAGAGGAAGTGGGAGGAGGGCGGAGCGAATGGCCTGGAGTGAGGCCTGAGAGGATGGAGAAGGACGGAATGGGAGTAGGAGGGACGGTGAGGACCCCAAGCGTGTGTGTGTGTGTGGAGCCTGCACACAGCGTTAACCATGAGGTGTTGGTTGGTCACAGGGGCATCTGAAGACGGCGAGGCAGGGGTACGGTGATGTCGATGCTGGGGACGAGGGGGAGAGGGAGGAACCAGATAAACCCAACACCCTCCCTCCAAGTTCCCCGTTCACAGGTCCCTACAATATTTTTTCGTCACTGTGGCAAATGCCCCGTAGGAAGACGCAGCATTCGACTCCCCAAGCGTATCACCAAACCATTCCTCAGACTTCCACGCCGCGAGCCAACTCTATTGTTGCGTCCTGGCGATTCTGAATCGCGCCAGAACGCCACTACTCGGACCTAATACATCGAATCAACGTGACTGTTGCGCCCTGGCAATCCTAAACGATGCTGGAACACCGTTCGTGGGACGCCAACCATAATATTGAAAACGGACATCCGCGCGGTGCTGAGGTGCGAACCGCATGTTGAAAAGGAGCCGCCCTCCAGCGTTGAGGCCCTGGCGAATTTCCAAGAAGACTGCGCGCACCGCCTTAGGCTCTGGCCACATTCGGAAGACGACCCGCCCTCCCTGCGAGTGCCTGCTGCTATCCTTTTAGAATTCGTGCGCGCGGCGCTAAAAGGCGGGAGACACCGCTTGAAACCTGGCCGCCCTCCACCCGCGAAGCCGCTGCGGATTTTTTTTGACGTGGTCTCCGCGGCGCCGAGGCGACGTTCGCCTTTTTGAAGAGGGGCCGCCTTCCAAGAACTGTTGCGAACTTTAAAAGACGAACGTACGCATGAATTTTCAAAGAATTTCAAGAATTTTTGAAAAGGGGCCGCATTTTTTCAACTGTTGCGAACTTTAAAAGACGAACGTACGCGGCGTGCCAGGTGGGAGCTTCATTATGAAAACCACCCGCCGTGCATCCGCGAGGCCGTTGCCAACTCTCGAAACGAATATGCGCGGCGCTAAGGCGAGAACTACCGACAATGACACAGTGTTTGTCCTGCGAGGTCCTGCGGCAAACGTTTACTGCGCATCTGCGCGGCGCTATTGCGAGAGCCGCACTTTGAAAGCGATCCCGCCATTCCTGCGAGAACCTGCTGCAATGTTTAAGACGCTCTCTGCGCGGCGCTACTGCGAGAGCCACATTTTGGAGTCGACTTCGCCCTTCATGCGGAAACCTGCTGCAACTTTTTAAGACGCACCTGCGCGACGCTATTGAGAGACCCGCACTTCGAAATCGACCCACCCTCAATCCGTGAGGCTCTTGCACGCGAATGCGCTCGAGAGCCCACAAGTGATATGGACGTCCCAGGCGAAGTGCCCAGGGTACGTCCAGACAAACATGTCGCGGAGCGCAACGGAGAGAGAGTATTTTTTTTATGGCGGGCGGAATTCAGAAGGGGACGATACGGACGATGATGACAAGGAGGAGGAGGAGGAGGAAGATGATGATGATGAGGAGGAGGAGGAGGATGAGGAGGAGGAGGATACGGATGGGGAGGATCAGCACTGGATGAGGATATGGGGGAGGAGGGTGAGGAGGATGAGATTGAGGAGGCTGAGGAGGAGGAGGAGGAGGAGGAGGAGGAGGTTACGAATGGGATCAGGAGGAAGAGTGGAATCGGGAGGAGGAGGAGGAGGAGGACACAGTCTTGAGGCCTGAACCAGAGAGAGAGAGAGAGAGAGACCCTTTCTCCAGGGTCGGGCGGCGGCCTTGGCGGTAACCACCGCGGACGACCCAGTTCAGGAAAGTTGGGTGCACATGACGCGGCCAGCCTCGGCAAGAGCAGGATGCACGTGTGGCCTCAGGCCTTTCCAGATCTCGGCCCTCGTTCGGCCATGCACGATGACGCTCCGCACGTGTATCCAGCAAGTGGCCTCCGCATGTTAATCCAGCCGCGTGTGTCTCCACCTCCTTAGTTGCACGAGCAGACACGATCACTACATGGTGATCACTGGCCTTGAGGTCGACATCATGCTGCTCAGCTGCGGCAGGGCGGCCTCCGATGGACGAGCGGATGCCCCGAGCTTCCGAACGACGGCCAGCACATCAACTGGGGCTCGACCTCCTTGGTGTAGTCGATCTGGGCCCTGCGGCACACAAAGGATGAGCCAGGTCGTTGCGATGAACTCGGAGCTGGAATGCAACGACCTGGCGGTGCATCTCCTCCAGCGGCAACAAGCACACGGCTTTGGCCCTGAGGACGCTCTTCACAATCGCCTGCATCCCAGGCTGCCGCAGCACCTGCTCAGTGCCCGTCAGCTGCGCCTCGGCAAGGAAGGAGAAGACGACGGCCCGCACTTGCTACCCAGCTGGTCGATCTGCGCACGAGCGTGTGCGTGCCAGTGCGGCCTTAGAGATGCCTTAACCAGTTCACATCCAGAACCGCAATCATGGCCGAATTGGTTTGCGCACACAAGTTGCGGGTTGCACCAACCGGCTTGCACCACACAGCATGCGCAACACAGCACGCGCCGGGTATATTCCACCACGTAGTTTTCTTCACAGAGCTTGCACCACACTGGGTGCACCGCACATAGCGTCATCCACATAGGTCGCTCCACACAGCATGCACCACAGATATTGCACCTCATGGCGTGCACTATGTAGCAGACCCAACAATCGAGTGAACCGCATAAACTGTACCATGGTGCAAGACAGCGTTTCTCACTCTCTTGTTCACCACTTTGATTGTGACTGGTCGCTCCGTTTTGCCGCCAGCTCTTCCCTCCTGAGTCCGCACCGGCCTCCTCCACTCCTGCCTCGCCTGGTATTCGCCATGGCCCCTGACAGGAGATCTACAGCGCCGGCGAGGCCGAGATCTTGCGTCTCGGCGCCGAGCGCGACGCCACGGCGAGGAGGGCCAGGGAGCGGTGCGAGGCCATCCGCGACGAGGCGGAGCGCCGGTGCCGCGAGCTGGGCGCGCTGGAGCGCGAGGCGCTGGCGAGGCTGCGCCAGGCGCAGGCGCGGGAGGAGGCCCGGCGGGCGTCCCGCGTCGCGGAGGCCGAGGAGCGCCTGGAGGAGGCCCGCGGGTTGCTGGCGGCAGCGGTCGAGACCGCACAGGTGGGCGGGCCCGGAAGTCCACACCGGGCGTGTTCGCCACGCTGCTAGCGCCGGGGCCGTCACAGACCGATCCCGCTAACAAAGAAACAACGCGGCAGAGAGATGGGGTCTGGGGCTCCAGTCGTGATCCGTGTTGCGTTGCTGCAGCTTTCGGGAGGCCGCAGGCGAGCCCTACCCCACCACGCCACGATTTCTAAGAGGGGAGGTGGGCTTCACTTCGCTCAGGACCTCCTGGGCGAAGTGGGCCCCACCTCCCCCCTTAGGACTCGTGGGGCGGCGGGGTGGGGCTCGCCTGTGGCCTCCTGGACTTCTCGCAGCGTCGGATCTCAGAGGGGTGAGCTCGAGCTCCACCCCCGATCCTGGCCCCCGAAGGCCCGAGGCCCCCCCGGAGGCCCCAGGCGGCCCCTTGGAGTGCCAGGGGCATGCAGCAGCCTCCCGCCCTCCTCGATCCTCGAGGGTCGAAGTCGAGGCCGCACGGGCGCCACTCTGGTGGCGTCATCCGTGGCCGCCGACTTGGAGACCGGACGTGCCCTCCGAGGATCTCGCGGACCGTGTGGTGCGGGTGCGCTCCCAGCTCGGCGAGAACCTCGGGGCCACGTCTCCGCAGCGGTGGAGTCGGACGAAGTCCTTCGGCTGCGCGTGGCGTAGGAGTGACCCTTCGCCAGGGTGACCTTTTCATGCGGGCCCAGAAGGGTCCCCTGGGATCCCCTCGGCACTGGCCTGCCCGCTTGGGTTTGGCCCCTCCCCGCGGGCCGGCCCCGAAGCAGCGCACCACATGTCACGTTTGCCCGTTGTCGCTCTTGCGTGCAACGGGGGTAAACATCAAGAGAGCACCTCCCCCCGAGACGCCTTTTGGTGTGCAGAGCAAACGAGGAACAATTTCGGGGCCGAACGTGTTTTGTTTGAATGCCCCTCCGATTCTTTTGGGGCGTTGCGCAGAAACTGATTTCGCAATCGTCACCACCACCCCCGCCCCGCCCCCGCCGCGCAGCAGTTTTGAGGAATACATCGGACCCCCACGGATTCCTTCGTTGGAGGACGAGGAGGAGGAGGACGAGGAGGAGGAGGAAGAGGAGGAGGAGGAGGAGGAAGAGGAGGAGTACAGTACAGTACAGTACTCAAGCCCTTCTAGACCATCCACTGACTGTTAGGCTCTGGCTCGGGCTGGGGCTCGATAGACATTGCTACGCCACCCATTTCGACAACTCGCCATGCTGGCAACCATGCTGCTACCGCAACACCTTACAATCTGCTGAATCTGCTGCACATTCAAAAGCTGCTCTGACAAACGATGAGTAGAATACAGAGAGACAGGCAACACCACTGAAAAGCAATACACCGCGCACGTGTGCGACATGACAAGGGAAAACAAGCAACTGCGAGCGAAACACATGCAAAGATAATATTACAAAGGTGCAGGCAGCAGGCTGATGGCCTGCAGGAAGCGGCCCAGCGCGAGGGCGTGGCCGCAGGTATGACTCACTCACTTACTTCTTGCCCCCCCCTGCGTTTCCCGCCGAGCTGGCGGGCCATGTTGTTGCGAGGGGCTCGATTCATCTTCACGTCTCCTCCCATCCCCCGCAGAGCCTCGCTAATCAACTGTTCGACTGGAATCCAGAGCCCTGGGATCTGCATCATCTCTGACGGGACCTCCACTGGGCTGATCATGAGGCCTTTCACGGGGATGTTGGGATCCTCGGGGTTCTCCTTGAGCTTGGCCTCTAGCTCGGCCGCGACCCCGTCCTCGTACGGAAGGAGCATGTTGCCGTGCAGCGCGAACGTAATGCGACTCTTCGGCGTCACCCCGGGCTTGTCGTACGTGGGGAGCGCCACTAGCTCTCGAATCCATCATGCCATCTGAACTGGTACCGATCGTCCCATCATGAGCGCAAGCCTTTTGCAGCCTGCTACGACCGCTTTCATCCGCGGTGAAGTATCCTTGAAGCTGTAGTTCTCTATAACGGCTAGAAGTGCGAAAAGGGCTTGGGACGCGGGGCCTGCGAGCTCCTGCTTGCCTTTGGCCTTCTCCTCCTTGGTGCTCTTGAGGTAGTCCTGGAAGGAGTTGTTGATGGCCTCGATCGCTACGGACTTGCGATCGATGATCGCGGTGGAGAAGGCTGCATTCTCGAGGCTCCTGACCCTGGCCTCGAGCTGGATCAGAAGGGCGTCCCTGGTGGAGTTCTTGTCGTGCCGCTCGTCTTCCTCCTCCAAGTCGCCCCCCTCCGTCCTGGCCTGCTTCTGCTGCGGTCCTGATCCTCCCAGCAAGCTCAACGCGCGTGGTCTCACCAGTCCCGAGCTTGACCCTGCGCCCTCCATCAAGACGAACGTGAAACTTGGAATATAGGTACTCACGCAAATGAAGAAGCAGGTGCTCGAGATATGAGTCTACGGATTCAAACTCTTCCAGACAGATGTGGCACTTCATGTTGGATATTTCTTGAACTGCATTTTCATATCTGGAGCAGGAGGAAGAGCAGGAAGAGGAGGAGGCGGAGGAGGAGGATGATCAGGAGGAGGAGCAGCAGGAGGAGGAGGAGGAGGAGGAGGAGGAAGAGGAGGCGAAGGAGGAGGAGGAGCAGCAGCAGCAGCAGCAGAGGGCTTGGCGCGCTGGGGGCTCCAAGGGGCGCAACCTGCCGGATCCCATGCCGGGGGCAGGATGGCACAGAGGCGTGCGGGTGGCCATTGGACTCCACCCTCGGCCACCCGCAGCTTTGCAACCAGGGACCTGCCCGCATGCGGTGGGGGCGCTCGCGCACGCTCTGGCCCGGGTGTTGCGGGCCTGCCGCGCTGCGCGTCGTTCCCGAACTGGTGCATGCTGGGGACGCTGGCGTCGTGCAGGAGGCTGTCGTGGACCTCGCCGCCACGTTCCCTGGGAGCGCGCGGCCCCTGTACATCGATGTCACGATCAGGTGCCCCCATGCCGCCCTGTACGAGCAGGCGGCGACCGCGCCTGAGCAGGTAGCCTGCGGCGGCGTGAAGGACAAGAGAGACCGGTACGGCACTGACGTCGTGCCCGTGGTCTTCGAGATCCACGGGAGGGCTGCGCTGGAGACGACGCGCTCGCTGGAGCTGATCGTTGCGCACGCCGGCTGCTGCTTGCGCGACGCGGGGGCTGCGCCGCGGTTGGTGCCGCGGTGGCGGGCGACGCTGGACAGGATCGTCCAGTTCGCCGCCGCGGACGTCGACTTCCTGGCCCTGGCCCGTGACCCCAGTGCGGCGGAGATCCGGATCGCGTACGACCGCGTCCAGGTGGTGCGCCGCGAGTCGTTTATACATTGTTCGCGAGGTGTGATCATGTTGCGTAGCAAGGTCCCAAGCAGCAGCAGGAGAAGGAGGAGGCGGAGGAGGAAGAGGAGGAGGGGAGGAGGAGGGGGAGCAAGAGGAGGAGGGGGAGGAGGAGGAGGAGGAGGAGGAGGAGGAGGAGGAGGGGAGGAGGAGGGGGAGCAAGAAGAGGAAGGGGAGGAGGAGGGGAGGAGGAGGGGGAGCAGGAGGAGGGGGAGGAGGAGGATGGGGGCGCTTACAGGGGGCCGCGCCGCGCCCCCCCCCCCCCCCCCCCCCCCCTCCTTCCCGCTTCGCCGTGTGCTGGGATGCCAGGGCACTGGACGCGTGATCCTCCTCCATTCTGCTCTGCGCTTCGTCACGCGCGCGAAAAAAAGTCTTCTGCGCTCTCGACGAACGAGGTGCGCCTTGAACCACAATGATGGGCGCGGCCCCTCTTCCGTCCCGAGGACATGTGCATCGCGGGCCGTTTCCTAGAGGAGTGTGGCCGCGTTGCAGGGGGGGGCGCCGCGACCCGCCCGCCCGCTTCGTCGCGCTCCAACAAGGATGGATTCGCAGGGCTGTGTGGCGCGTCGCGCACCCCCCAATCGTTTCGCCGCGTCCTGGCAGGGGCCGGGAAGCATTGCAGGGGGGCGAGCTCCGCGCCGCCCCCTGCGTCGTCGCGCCCCCCCAGCAGGATGGGCTTGCATTTCGGGGTGGCGCGCTGCGACGCCTCCCCTTTGCCCCGCCGCTTCCCAGGAGTAAGGCCGCATTGCAGAGGGGGCGATTCGCGCCAGCCCCCTCCGCCTGCTTCGCTGCGCCCCGACGGAAATTGGCCAGCATTGCGGGGGGACGCGCCGCCACCCCCTCTCCTTTACCTCGCGGGCTCCTAGCGGGAGTGGGGCAGCATTGCCGGGGGGCGCGCCGCCTCCCCCCCCTAGCTTGCTTCGTCGCGCCCTACCAGATGCGGGCTCGCATTGGACATTGAGTTTTTGTTGATTGCTTTGGGCATGACGGGCGTCGTGGCCCCCGCTCCCCCCTCGCCCCCCCTATGACGCAACGCCCCCCCCACCATTGCGCTACGGGCACTGCCACCGTGCGCATCGGGATCCGCATACGCGTCCGCATAGGAATCCACAGAGGAGTCTGGTCCGCAGTCGTCGTCGTCCTCGTCGCTCGTCGCTCGTCGCTCGTCGCTCGTCGTGTCAGCGGACTCGGAGGGGAGGCTGTTTTTGATTCTGGGCCGATGACGGCAATCATGTGGGATGCGGGGTGGGGGGGGGGAGTGGGCCGATGACGTCACGACTCGCGGCGGCGGCGTCTGGGAATGCTTAGGACTGACCGAGGACGGGTAACGGCAGCATGTCGGTGGCGATCTCCACCACATCGTTTGTGTACACCACTCGGCCTGCGTGCGCCACAGCGCCTGCCTTTGCACACCCCGCCGCCTATGTACATACACCACAACAACTGCGTGCAACACAGTGCTAGTGTGTTCCACAATGCCTGCGGGCACCGCAGCGCCTGTGTACACCACATCAGCTGTCTGCAACACAACATCCGTATACAACGCAATGCCTGTGTGCACTGCTGCGCCTTTGTACATCACGGCGCCTGTGTGCAAAACAGCAACCGTGTACAACAGAACACCATTGTTGCATATAGGGTTGTACCAGAAATCCTTCTGACAGACTGAAGCGCCAGTGGATCCCATTGAAAAAATGTTATAGAGGATTTGGAACGGAATTCTTTTGACAAAAAGGAGTGTCGCTGGAGTTTATGACTCCTCCCGAATCCGCCTGCGTCATCTTAGTTCCTCCCATCGGCGTCCAGGGAACTCCATTTGAATTGGCCGTCCGAGAACCTACTGGACTGACTTAATAGACCATTCTGCGGTGCACGCTGGCATGCGCACGTGCGTTGCAGCGTCGAACCGCACGACAGAGGGGGAAGGGTGAAGGAGGTGAAGGAGGAGGCGGAGGAGGAGGGAGGAGGAAAAAGGAGGGAGAGGAGGAGGTGAAGGTGGAGGTGGCGGAGGGTGGATGAATGAAAGACGTCGCACCCTAGTATCAGCACTTCCCCGGCGTAGCGCTTACTTGTCCGCAACACATTCTCATCTACATGCTCCTTCTAGTTGTCCTGTGCACGCAGGCATTGTAGTCTACACCAGCGGTGCATTGCATTCGGATGCTGTGGTGTAGACAGGCGCTGTGGTGTGGACAGGCGTTGCGGTGCACGCAAACACTGTGGTGTACACAGGCGCTGTGTTGCACATGGTTGTTGCGGTGTACACATTCGCTGTGTTGTACACCGGCGCTGTGGTGCGCGCAAGCATTGGGGTGTACAAGCGTTGCGTTGCACACGGCTGTTGCGGTGCACGCAAAATGGTGTACACGCGCGCTGTGGTGCACGCGAACATTGTTGTGTACACAGGTGCTGTGGGGCAGATCGCCACCTACATGCTGCTCGCGTCGTCGTCGTCGTTTTCTTCGTCGTCGCTCGTCTCTCGGCGTTCGTCGCTCGTCGCTCATCGTTGTCGTTGCGCGGGCGCGGTTGTGTTGCCGGAGCCGCGCAGCGGGGGGGGGGGGCGTTGCGTCACGCCCGCCCCCGCCCCTCCCCCTCCCCCCCCTTTTCCCCCGCGACGCCCGTCATCGCCGAAAATAAAGAAACGCTCTCTTGCAGGGCGCGCCGCAACCCCTCCGCCCCCCTCAATTCGCAGCAAGAGTGCAGCCGCATAGCGGGGCGCGCCGCGCCCCCCCCCCCCCCGCTTGCGCCCCAGCAGGGCAGCGCTCGAGTTGCAATGGGTCGCGCCGCGCCCCCCACTTTGCCTGGCCGCTTGCCAGCAGGGGCCGCGAGCATTGCGGGGCGTCGCCGCGCCCCGTCAGGAGGGAACTCGCCGCGCAGAAGCGCGCCGCTCCACCGCCGCCCGCGCCGTCGCGCTCCAACAGGAATGGGCTCCCATTTCAACGGGGCGCGCCGCGCGCCCCCCCGAATTGCCTCGGCGCTTCCTAGAAAGAGTAGGGCGGCATTGCAGGGGGGGGGCGCCCCCCCCCCCCCCCCCCCCCCCGCCCGCTTGCATCGCTCCGCCCCAGCACGGATGAGCTCGCAATGTTTGGGGCGATCCGCGCCCCCCCCACCCTGTGCCTCGCCGTTTCCAATTCGGAGTTGGGCGGCGTTGCAGGAGGGGGGGCGCCGCTCGCCCCCGTCCGCTTGCTTCGTCGCGCCCCAGCTAGGCATCGCCGAATTTCGTCGCCGATTCCTAGCAGGGGCCAGACCGCGTTCATCGAGCCCCGGCAGAAGAGAGGGGTTTGCGGTTCGCGTTGCAGTCGAGGCGCGGCGCGCGCCCCTTCCTCCACCCTGCCGCCCTTTAGCGGGGTCAGGGCAGCATTGCAGCGGGGGCGCGCCGCGCCCCCCACCCGCCTGCTTCGCCGCGCCCCATCAGGAATGGGTCAGCAGTGCAGGGGGGGGGGGGGGGCGGGGAGGCGCGCTGCGCCCGCCCCCCTCCGCTTGCTTCGCCGCTCCCTGGCGGGGAGAGGTTGGCATTGCGTGGGGCGGCGCGCCGCGCCCGCCCTCGCTTGCGGGCCGCGTCGCAGGGGGGGGGGGGGGGCGCCGCGCCGCCGCCCGCCTGGTTCGTCGCTCCCCAGCAGGCATGGCGTGGCATTGCAGGGCGGCGAGCGCCGCGCCCTCCCACTTTGCGTCGCCGCTTTTGGCATGAGGCCGCATTGCGTGGGGGGTCGCGCAGCGCCCCCCCCCCGCCCTCCCGCCTGCCTCGTCGCGCTCCATGGGGGATTGCCTCGCATTGCATGGCGGCGCGCTGCGCCCCCCCCCCCCCGCCATGTGCCCCGCCGATTCGAGGCAGAGGCAGCGCCGCGCTGCTTCGGGCGGCGTCGCGCCCCAGCAGGGATGGGCCCCGCGCGGCCAGGGCGGGGGGGGGGGGGGGGGGGGGGCAGCGCTCGCCCCCCCTGGCGCGCCGCTTCCTAGCGGGAGGGGGGGCAGCAGCGCAGGCGAGGCGTGCCGTGCCCCCCCCCCCAGCCCCCTTGCATTGCCGCGTCGAACATGTGCAATGCTGAATGAGAACAATGCCCATGCTGGCATGAAACTTCAAGCGTACCCTCGGCGTGGTATTTGTGTGTCTCCTACCGCGGAAAGTGCGCCAGTCCGCGCGCGCGTGCGCCGCGGCGTGCGACCGCGCGCGTGGGGAGTTCCCTGATCCGCAATTGAAAATGTTCCATGTTGGGTTGGCACCTGAAGTGAACCCTCATCGTTGTCCGACTGGCGTTCCGAGATGGCATGGTGGTTGATGTGTGTTTTCAACAGTGGCATTGCAGAACACCACCACCCGCGCGCGCGTTGGGAGTCTGGCGTTGTCCACAATTTTACGCACTTGCAGCGCTGGCTTGGAAGCTGAATCGTGCCCCGAGCAATGGCAGATCTGATTTCCAAGTGGACATGGACCCTGGAGTTCGCGCGCTCGGGGGCGGGGTGGGGTGGGGGTGGGGGGGGGGGGGGGGGGCGCGCGGCCCGCGGTGGCAAAGTTGCTGCGTTGGCCTGGAAACGCAGAATGCGGTCCCTCAGCGGCCACAGATTTGATTGCCAATGCTACGTTCGTTTCCGCATGTCGGCCAGGCGGTGTAGCACGACGCGCATGCGCGGGTGGAGGGGGCCGCGTGGCGTTCGCGTTAGACAAGTTGCCATGGTTGCCTCGAACCAACAGTAATCCCTCAGCGGCCACCGATTGGATTGCACAGTTTAGATGCTGCTTCGCGTGCTAATATTGCGGTGCGGCGCGCGCCGCGCGCGCGCGGCTGGCGAGCGCTATATCGCTCGCGTGTTGGAGCATTGGAAATCGCATTGCTGGCCTGGGAACTGAGGTGAACTCTGAGCCGTTGCCCGATTGGGTTTCCAAGATACGATGGTATTTGGTAGTTGCTCACTATTATGTAGAAGACAGAATTGTCCACGCGCGCGTGCGCGCGGAATGCTGAACTGTCCACAATGGGAGAGGCGCCATGTTGACTTGGGAACTGGTGTGAACGTGTTGCTGCGGCCGGCTGTCTTCTCAACTTCACATTGGCCATGGTGCGCGCTTCCCTTGCAGCGGCAGTGCAGAAAGGCCCCGCGCGCGCATTGGGTCCGGTGCTGTCCGCGCTGTTTAAATCGCTATGCCGGCTTGGAAACTCAACCAGTCCCCGAGAAGTGACCGATTGGACTTCCAAGCGGACATGGGTTATAGTGTTCGCGGGCGCGGGTGGGGGCGGAACTGGGGGCGCGCGGTCCGCGTCAACCCAGTTGTCATGGCGGCCCTGAAGCGCATGTGGTCCGGGAGCGGTTCTTGATTCGACGTCCAAAAGAAGATGTGCTTTCGTATGTCAACCAGGCGGTGTAGCACGACGCGCGCGAGCGGGTGGAGAGTTCCATGGCGTTCTCCTTTGGCAAGTTGCCCTGGTGGCCTCGCAACAAAATGGGGCCCTCAGCGGCCGCCGGATGGATTTCCTTGTCGAGGTGTGGCGTCACGTGTTGATCATGTGGTGCCGCGCGCGGGCGGTTGGCGAGTTCTATAGCGTTCACAAATTAGAAAGTCGCCCCGCTGGCCCCGGAAGCGACATGAACCCCAAACCGATGCCCCATTGGATTCCCAAGTCAACATGTACTTTCATGTCGTCCAGGCGGTGCAGCGCACGACGCAGGGTGGTGGTATGGTTTCCAGTGCTCACATTCGAACAGCAACCATGTTGGCCTATAGTTCCAAGTGGTCCCGCAGCGGTCAGCGATTGGAGCTCCAAAGCGACACGCGTATTAAAATGTCAATCCTGCGGTGCAGAGTACGACGCGCGCGAGGGTGGCGAGTTGTGTAATGTTCACATTGGAAAAGTGGCGTTGTTGGCTTAGTATCTACAGCGATCCGTGATCGATGATCGATTGGTTATCCAAGCTCGCCTTTCGTCGTCGTCGTCGTCGTCGTTTTCGTCGTCGTCGTCGTCGTTTTCGTCGTCGTCGTCGTCGTTTTCGTCGTCGTTGTTATCGCCGTCGTTATTGTCGGCGCCAGCGTCGTCGTCGTCGTCGTCGTCGTCGTTGTCGTTGTCGCCGTCGTCGTCGGCACCCCGGTCGTCCACACGGACGACCGCGACGACCGCGACGAAGACGAAAACGACGGCGGCGACGAGGGCATCGCCGCCGCGGGCTCTTACCGAAACGTGTCTTTTCAATCGTCCTCCGAGCCGCCACCCTCGCGGCACCCTGGGCACGTTCGGAGGAGGTGCGGGGGGAGAGGGAGGCGGGACCATTGGCCTTCGGCCCACGGCGATCACAATGTTCATTCGTCAACCCACGACGCCCCGACGCCGGGGGGCGCCTGGGAGAGCCCCGGGAGGGCCAGGGGTCGCTGGGGGGGGGGGGGGGGGCATTTTTGACCAGTCCGACTCGTCACCCCCGCCCCTCCACATTGTACGCCTTCGGGCCCGCCCTGGCCGCCCACACGGTCTGGGGGTCATCCAGGCTTGTCCGCCCTCCGTGGGCCGAGCTGTTTGGCTCGCTATTCTGAAGGCCGCGGGGCCCGCGGTTAGCCCCTTTTTGAAGAAATCGTCGGCCCCAGGGCAGGCACCCGTTGCCTCCATTCGGCGACCCCCTGCGTGGCCAGGTGAGCGTTGCCGAGAGGGTGAAGGCGCTCGCTGGCGAGTGCTCAGCCGCGCGCGCGAACCTGCTGGACACCCGCGAGCGGCTGGACGGGCACGTGCGGGCCGAGATAGACAGGCGGCGCGGCGATACCGATCTGGTCGACATCAGGCTGGACTCCATACTGCGGGGGCAGCAGGCCGGGCTGGGGCCCTGCCGCGTCCGCTGCTTCTTTGCGCCTTTCGTCATCATTGCTTTGTTTCTTTATTATGGAAACCTATGATCAGTTTTTACGTCTTGGTTATCATACGAGTTCCTCTTCCACCTCCTCCTCCTCCTCCTCCTCCTCCTCCTCCTCCTCTTCTCCTGTTCCCCCATCCCCCGTCATGGCTCCCCGCGCCAGGCATCTGCTCAGTTACGCGCGCCCGAGGCTCGCACTGCCCAGGGAAAGAGCTTCAGAGCTTGCTTGGGCTCGCCTTCGCGCCACAGCCCGGCGAATGGCGCAGTTGTGGACGCCCAGCAATTCGGACCTCACATGAGCGTCGCAAGGAAAACGGGGCCGCTCACTTTGGCGGCCTCCACCTGCGCTGTGGCGCGCGGTTCTCAGCAGGGAAAACAGCACACAGGCAAAATGAATCGTCGATTTCCCCCCCAAACATAGGAACATATGGGAAGTGGGGGGAAGACGACAATAAAGAAAATATATGAAAATATACGAGAATTATGTTATTCGTGTTAATTGATTCGTGTGTCCCAGGGCCCCTTCAGGTTCTGCCCGGCAGCGGTTGCTGCAAGCGCCGCGGACCTACAGAGGCGGTGTGCCTTGGCGCGCCGCCGCTCGCCTGGGTGGTCCGGGCGCCAGAGTCGGCGTGCGAGCGGCTACGAGCCGCGGGGCCCGACGCAGCGTCGTTTGAGCGTCGCAGGAGAACTTGGAAGCCTGGAAATGGGCACCAACACCAACACAAGGAGGTTGCCTCAACAGGGGGAAGATGATCCTAGATTTCGGTGTTGGTGGTATTATGTCGGTCACCTTGGCGGCCAGAATACTGCCACCATTCCCGAGATCGGGATCCTCGTCCCTCGGTGGAGGCACACCGCCGATCTTGGTGTTGGCGTCAACCTCTAGGCCTGTCAAGAACGGGCTCGTCTGTGTCGACATTCGCGCGCAAGCTGCCCGCAGAAGGTCACGCGCAAGCGCCCTCGCTTCCACTGTAGCGTGCCGCCCCAGCGGCCCGCGTAGTAAGCCGCCGCGCAGGGTCGCTGTGCTACCTCGCGTGACAGCCACGCGTCTTGCCGTCGCTCGCGTCTTGCCTCGCCGCCTCTGGGGAGGTCCAGGACGCCCTTCCAGCAGCGCAGTGCTGGCCTCCTCCTTCTCCTCCTCCTCCTCCTCCTCCTCCTGCTCCTCCTCCTCCTCCTCCTCCTCCTCCTTCTCCTCCTCCTCCTTCTCCTCCTCCTCCTCCCCGGCACTTCCTGGGCCGCGCGCTTTGGCAAGCATTTTGATGGGAATTTGGCCTTTGAGCGACGAGGTCGCTCCAGGAGAGACCCCCCCAAAAAACTAGAAAGTTGAGACCCTCTTCGATCCTCCTCCGCGCTCGGTCCTCATTTATCCTCGATCCCCATCGATCCTTGATCCTCCCCGCCAGATCCCACCGTTGATGGATCCTCGACGTCCCCCATCCCTCGATCCTCGACCCTCCCCACCAGATCCCGCCGATGGATCCTCGACCTCCCCGTTCCTCGATCCTCGACCCTCCCCTCCCTACCAGGTTCCCGCTCCTCGTTCCTCGATCCCCCCCCACGCCCGCCGCTCCAGCCAGCGAGGCGGAGGCTGGGTACGTGCGGGAGCTGGAGGAGCTGGCCCAGAAGCTGCGGTACCCCTGGGGGGCGCCCTCTCGACGCCCGTTGGCCCAGCCAGTTCTCCCTCCTCCCGCAGCCTTCCACCAACCTGCCTCCTCCTGCCTCCTCCTGCCTCCTCCTGCCTCCTTCTGCCTCCTCTTGCCTCCTGCCTCCACGCCCCTGGCTCCCCCTCTCTCGTCCTTCCTCCTCCTTCTCCTCCTCCTCCTCCTCCTTCTCCTCTATCTCCACCTCCATCTCCTCCTCCTCCTCCTCCTCCTCCTCCTCCTCCTCCTCCTCCACCTCTCGTCCGTAGCCAGCTTGGCTGAAGTCCGTAGCGTTGGCTCGGGCTTGGCAGACTGGCGGGGGGGATTCCGCGGCCCCCAATCGCGCGCGTTCGCGTGCTAACAGGCGACACGCCTGCTAAAGTACTCTTCCAAACTGTTTTTTTGTCCTCTACTCTCGTCCATGGCAAGTCATGGTTCTTCTTCTCGCTCGCCTGTCAAGTCGGGAGGAGGGAAGCAGAGACAGGCTTGGGTGGGCCCTTGTTATTGTAAGTGGTGCATTCATCCCCGCTCAGGCGACAAGTGGTGGAATCGCGGCGACCTCACATCGTGTGCCCTCTGTTCCGTCAAAAAGGGCGCCATTTTTGGAGGTGCCAAAGTCGTGTCCAACAGTCCGAGTTTTCGGGCGCCCAGATCAGAGCAACCCCGCGCCAAGCAGCAGCAACTGGATCAGCTCCAGGAGAAGGACCTGGAGATCGCCCGGCTGCTGCAGGCCTCGGCTGCTGCACTACCTCGGCTGCTGCACGCGCGGAGGGCAGCGATGCTGAGGATCCCGATCAGAAGCTGCTCATGGAGATCGCGAGCGCCCTCAAGGTCCTGGGCGACGCCCCCAAGGAGGCTTCCCTGCGGGTCGCCAGGGAGACGCTCATCTCTGAGCGGGACGCCATCAAGGATAATCTTGTGCGAGACAAGCCGTTTGCTGGCCAGCTGCATCACTACAAGGCACGCGTTGAGGCCCTCGAGAAGCAGCGATCCCACCAACAGAAGGAGCTCGCCAGCTTCCAGCAGCAACGAGAGCGGCTTGACGCCGCCATCGCCGACACGGAGAAGGTGCTCACGGGCCTCGACGCAGACATCCAGGAGCTTGAGGCCCAGCGTTGGCAGGTCTCTGCCAAGGCGCCCACCGCTGTTCCTGGACAGTTCAGTCTGCAGGCGATGGTGCCTGCGCTCAACCTCTCCGTGGAGGCGCTCGGGGAGATGCTCAAAACACTTGGGGCGGATGCCGCTCTGTCTGGCAGTGTCTCCTCCTGCTTTGCTTCGTTGCGCGAGCTGGCCAACAAGAACCAGCAGCAGCATGACGAAGCTCGGGCCGACGCGTCGTAGCCGCCTGCCGGGGCTGGAGGCGGCATCGCGGCCCCCCAGCATGCCCGCGGCCGAGCGGCAGGCGGAGGCCCAGGCGTGTGCAGTCCCTATGGACACCGACGACGTCGACGAGTTGCGCTCCTTCCTGCAGGCGGCTACAGGAGGCGACCCTCCTGAGGACGACTCCCGGGTGCGCGGAGCGGCCGAGCGGATGGGCGTGTCGGCGCAGAGCTGGGCACCCAAGCGCAGGAAGCCCAATGCGCGAGGTGGCTCCAGGGGCTGGCATTGTGCACCAGCTGATTGGCCAGTATTTGCTCGTGCTGCTCCTGACTACACTGGGTGCCACTGGGCACCTGATGGGAAGCTCGTCATGTATTCTGTCTCCTCGAATGTCCTTTCCGAGTCAGGTGCAAGCTCAGATGCTGGCCTCATTGATGGGTAGCCTGGCGCATGCTGGCTACAATGGCGGACCCCCCCCCCCACACCCCGAGAGGGCCGCGCCCGGCCGGGCGACGGGGGCCAGAGCCGCTGCTACCTACCCGAAGGCACCCGTAACATGGGCGCGGTCTTGAATGTTGGCACCACAGTTCGCATGGTTTCTAGATGTATGCGTCTCTCGACTCGCTCCTGCACTGGCAGCGGTGGAGGTCAAGTTTTGTTGACGGGTTCGCTCGGGTGGTCTGGCGCATGCTGACCTTGAGGGGGACCATGCATGCCCCCAGGGTCACGCCTCGCGAATCTACGGAGACCAGAGCCGCTGTCTGTTCACCCTGTTGTCCCTTTCACACCGGCCAAGATTACGGATCCAACTACTTGTGGCGAATCGGTTGTTCTGTTGTGGGGCCGCGCCTGTCTCGCTGACCACGGTCAACGCGTCGTCTTATGGTGCCGTCAGCGACGTCCTGCACATGCCTGAACGTGCAGGCGCTGTTGTGCTGCTTCAGGGGCATCACGTTGATGCTGAGCGGCTACCCACTGTTGTTCATGCTGCCTCCCATGCGGGCTTCGCTGGAGTGGGCGGCAGCGCCCAGCACTGGGCGGGAGGCACATATGGAGGGCTGGCCGTTATCGCTCCGTCACATATTCGCGTCAGCCTTGGACAAGACTTATCGGTGCCTGAGGTTGCCCAGGGCAGGGCGCTGGTTTCGCGCGTGCGCTGTGGTCCCTCAGGTGATCTAGTGGTGATGTCCATTTACCGCATTGACTCAGAGGGCCTCAGCGAGGGCAATCTTTCTGTGCTGCCTAGGCTGGCGGACTACATCACTGGCCTCAACGCGCAGCAGATGCCGTGGCGCATAGGCGGTGATTGGAACATGGATCCAGATTTCGTTGCACCGCGGCTCAACGCCCCGCGTGAAGTTGGAGCCCACGCGGGCGCGCCAACATGGCATGCTGCCGAGCCAGGTGCAGTCCGTGATTACTTTGGAATTGTAGCTTCTCTGGTTACATGGCAGTCGATGCTGCCCGCGCTCCAGAGGACCTTGCAGCGGCATGGGATGCTACGACTCAAGGTCTGTAGGGGGGGCTGCTCGACCGCCAGGACCGCGCCAGCCACGAGGTGCGGGCCAAATGCATCGGTTCTACGGGACCTCTACGCTGGGAATAAAGGAGGCCGGGTCTGTGCAGCCGCCAGCTCCGCGTAGGCTGCAGGCCTACAAGATTTCTGGGCGTTGGTGTAGGCGTCTCCGTTCCACCTACCAACGCGCGCTCCTGTGCCTACAGCGTCTCGCACAGGAGCAGCAGGATATCTTCCTTGCCGGGCCCCTTCCCAACGTTCGGGGTCAATGCGGATCCTTTGCTCTGGAGGAGGACAAGGAGGCCGCTCTCATGGCTTAGTTGGCTTGGGATATTTCGGGCTTCTTTGCCAAGGTTCAGACGGCGCGATGCGCGCGTGCATTGCTGGGCGCCGAGGACCGCGAACTCCTTCAGGATCTGCGCGCTGTCTCTGTAAATTCCGATTTGCGCGCGGATCAGGCCATCGCCGAGGCCGAGGAAGTCATCGGGGTGATCAGCCAGGTTCAGGCGCAGGAGTGGACCGACTGGGCGAGTAACGCCTCCGTCAACGGGGCCGCTGTCGCCCATCGGCATGCCGAGGTCCGCGACCTCCAGGAGATCCTGAGCCACGCAGTCGACGAGGGGGCAGCCGCGCCAGGCCGATTCCTGCCTCCAGCACCAGGCCACGACTCGGTCCCTACATGACGACGTGATGCTGCAGATGCCCCCCGACGTTGGCAGCTGGGGTGACTAGCCGCGGCTCGGCGGGAAGGATGCGCGCCAGGTCCTGCGCGCTTGAAGTATCCACAGCTCGTAGTGAGGTCAACATCCAGCCGCGTGCCCTGGAGGCTGTCTCGGGCATAGGCCTCCAGGTGCTGGCGGAGCTCTACCTCGGGTGCGAGGGCTTCTGCCTCTGGCTGGACGCGCGGCTGCGCGCGGCCCTAGTCAGGTCCCCGAGGACTTCGGGCGGCCGTCGCTTGATCGCGCTGATCAACGCGCAAGTGCGCAATCGGGGTCGCTTGCGCCGCCCATTGCCCAACGCGTGGGAGCAGAGCCATGGCGCGACGGTCTTCTGGGGCGCGACGGCTGGGGCCACCTCCAACGGCGCGGCGTTCCTGCGCAACCTTATGGCAGAGGTGACGAGGTTGCAAGACCGAGAGTCTGTGAGCGTGCGCATTGGCATTCACAAATGTGTCGAAACTATTAGTTTGTACGTCTTGCTGCAGCATGCTTGGCGACTCGAGTTCCCATTTAGACTGGCGTGGCTTCTGCTGCCATTATACCAACAGCCCAGATTGATTCGTGCTTATGGCCCTGTGACTACTTGTTACTCCTGTGCTCCAGGAATACTTGCAGATTGCACGCGCGCTTTTGCCATGATGCCCCTTCTGTTCGGAGATGTGCTTAGCGCCTGCGCCGTGCCTTCCCGCAGGCCGCGCAAAGGGCCCTCATGGGCGACGTCCGCTTCCAGTGGGCCTGTCCCAGAGCTAGGCAAGCCGAGCCTCTCGTCTGTGCAGTTCGCTGGTTTGCCAATGAAGTGGTGCCGCTGGGGTTGGTCATACAGACAGACAGGAGTGGCTGCGTGACGGGCGCCCATGTTTCCAGGAAGTGCATCAGGCGCTTCGTCAAGTCGGTTGGGATTTCTTGTCGCTCGCATGTGCGCATCTTGGGACATGAGCCCACTGGTTCCAAGGTGCGCAGGACCCAGGGGAGAAAGCGCCCACTTGCTATCGGTGCCCGCCAGCGCCGACTACGTGCCCTACGACGTGGATCTCCTGGCAAGACGACGGCGCCATGGAGGGCGGGGCTGCTCCCTGCTGCGGCTCACGGAGTTGGTGCCAGCGGGGCGACGCCCCATGCCCCCCAGGAGCTGCGCGCCATGGCGGGGGCACTTGTTGGCGCTCGCTCTCGCGCCAGCGTCGCGGCGTGGCTCGCCACTCAGCGCGACTGTGCGCGGCGCAACCATTGTCACACTTATGCGTGATTGTGCCACTGTATGGGGTGGGCTGGTTTCTTTCGCTAGCCTACAAAGGGCCTGGATGGCTTTGCCTACTGCTGTCACGGGCGATGGCTCCTGGATGCATTGCGCTGGCCCGCTCTCGGCAGCTGTGCCCACTTCGAAGAGGATGTGGTGGACTATGCAGGCTGTCCGTTTTTTGTTGACGACGAAGGGGTGT